TTCTTTTTGCCTGTTGCCTTTTTCATGAGTGGATTCTGTGCCCTTTATGTGTGCACTAAGAAAACTTAATCCTTGTTCTGAAATACTGCTTTGAAGGAGAGTTACAATTAGAGACGCCTTCTCTGCTCAGTTTGTCCTTTAGGGATTTCAGCTTTTTTCTCATTTGGATGGTGTTGAAGCAACAAGATTATGAAACAGATTGGTCCTTTCTAGACATTACTGATTTCAAATTCCTGGATATTCTCATGGTAGTCACATGTTTATACAGTTTTAGGGTAAAACACAGAATTTCTGGTTTACCATCTGACACAAATGGATAGAAGTGAAGCTGTTCATTGTGTTTTGATTGTTTATTCTTCCACATAGGGGATTATTTTACTCGGTATAATATGCTTGCATTGTCACTGTGTTAGATTCAAATTTGGAATAATTTCCCTTCCCCTATTTCATCAGATACATATGGATGACCCAGAATGCTGGAGAGCTTTCCAGAGAGTGTATGTAGTTTGGGCTGCTTCTTTGTCATGAACAGTAACTAGGGATCAAGCAGTCCTTACATTCAACAGGTTTTCTTTACTATTTTCTTCAGCCTCTCTCCAGAAAGCTTTTCCATAGACAGTTTTCATTTTCTCAAGGGAATTACACTCACCATTGCTTTTGCCTCCTCAAAACAGAAGAAAGAAAGGTTTCTTAGATTCAACATACAATATAAAAATAGTTCCTTTTCTTCTGCATGGTGGAAACCACAAAATCTGTGGCTCTCTGCAGATATAACTAAAACTGAATCTTTTTTTCAGACTACCAGTAAGAAAGCCTCCTTTTTTTTCGAGGAGAAAGTGAAAGAGGCCAAGTCTTTTTTTTTCCCAGAAAATATGAAATAGGGATGGATCCAAACCACAAAACTTGAATCTAAATTGAGATTTTAGCCTCCTTACTGAAATTTCTCAGTGTTTGGCTCTGAGGTTTTGTTTCAAGGCCATATTTAATATAAAGTAAACTAAAGTAGGCTCAAAACAAACATTCTCCTTTTCTGGGAGGTCCTTGGTTCTTTATTCCAAAGTTCAACAGACCAAAAGAGAGTTTTCCACCATTTATCAGCAGTCCTGTGTAACCAGGGAGGTTCCAGTTGACTAGAAGTTAGCAAATGTGACACCCAGCTACAAGAAAGTCCGCAAGGAGGATGTGGGGAACTACAGGTCTCTTAGTCTGAGCTCAGTGCCAGGCAAGGTTACGGACCAGACCATCTTGAGTGCCATCACATGGCACGTACAGGACAACCACGCAATCAGGCCCAGTCAGCATGGGTTCATGAAAGGCAGGTCATGCTTGACTAACCTGATCTTCTATGACAAGGTGACTCACTTAGTGGATGAGGAAGAGGCTGTGGATGTTGTCTAACTAGACTTTAGTAAATACACAGTACTGTGTGTAAAGTTTAAATGGTATGGCATATGGACATGAAGATGAAATCCTTCAGGATAGCCAAGAACAGAGAGAGAGTGGCAAGACAGCAGAGCCCCTGGTGGCTGTATTCAGTTAACAGTAATATAAATTAGAAGAGTTAAAATTAAAAGACAAACAGGAACAAAGATAGGAAATTCCTTTTGAGTCTGATTTGTACTCATATTCTTTTCCTGGTACAAAGAGCTAGTGGAGTTTCTCCCATCCACTCTCACTACTGCTGATCACAACACTGAGACATCAAAAAATTTACAGGAAATTACTATAGCACCAACAAAAAAATTCCCTGAGCCCCTAGATATTCCATCAAAAAGCAACAATCAGAGTCAATCACATAATACTGCACTGACTTCCTAACCTTTCTAGAGGTCTCCACATGAGCACAGTTTCTGAGCCCCGGGTATTGCAAATATTCTCTCTGTAAAGCAGGTTTCCACTGCTTCTAGTAAATTAGAATCCTCTGCAGCCTCAGAAGAGAGTGGTAAGCTTGGCTCATCATTTTCAAAGCGTTGCATGAGGTTTAATTGCCTGACACTGTGGCTCAAATTCATCCAGTGGTTTTAATCACAAAATGCCTGCTGTCATAAATAAATAACCATACGGCTTCTTGGGCAAGCCTTTTCTCTGTGAATATAACACAGAATGTCACCTAAAAAAACCCCCAAAATAATATTAATCCTTTGCTACTGCCCAAGTGCTTTTCTTCCAATGTTTTTAACACGTTCAGGAACATTAGTGCATTCAGTTTCACAACTTGTTTGTCTCTTAGTCATATGGTTTATAAAACTTTGGCATGACTTTCTCAAGCTCACACAGAGGAAAGTGGAAGAACCAGGAATACCCAGCTCCTCTGAGTTAGAATAGAATAGAATAGAACAGAACAGAACAGAACAGAACAGAACAGAATAGAATATTTCAATTGCCTCTCTCTTGAGATCATTAACTACAGAACGCCATATTCCTTGTGTATATGTGCTATTGTAAATGTACAGAGAGAGAAAATACAGACTATAAATACAGACTGTGACACAATGCAATATTACCATAGAATCATATAATCATAGAATATTTCAAATTGGAGGGGACCCATAACGTTCATCGACTCCAACTCCCTGCTCCTTCCAGGATTACCTAAAACCAAACTATATGATTAAGAGCATCATCCAGATGCTCCTTGTTCTCTGACAGGCTTGGTGCCATGACTACTTCCCTGGGGAGCCTGTTCCATTGACTGACCACCCTCTCAGTGAAGAACCTTTTCCTAATGTCCAAAGTGGCTTGGAAAAGTGTGTGTCCTGTCTTTGAAAAACAGTAAAGAATAGCAGAACTGCCCAAACTGGTGGGTGCTGTTGCCAAATGAATCTATAATTTTCTTGTTGTTCTTTCGGTCATGTGCAAGGCTAATATAATTTGTTCATTACATTCCCTTCTGGCTAGCCAAGACTGTACAATGGAAATAGAAAGTCTTCTCTGACTGAAATCAATGGTAAAAAATCCATTGACTCTAACAGAAGAAGAATTAGAGCATTTTTGACAAAATGGGTGACTTATTATTTCATCTTTGAAGGTAAATTACCCAAACGCCAGCTTTTTAAACTAGTTAACATACACTTGTTACGAAACTATCTTTGATGGAATCTTCCAGATCCTTTCTATAAGCTCTCCAGAACTCATAAATTTTTTCTTAGACAAAATTTTCCTTTTAATCGTATTCAACTACAGAGCGAAATTATATTATTCATCTGCTTTATCAAGTCTGACTGAATAGAACTTAATAAAAATGATGTCTTGAATAATTTTTTTGACATTTCTGCATTAATGTTGAGAAATATAAAATACTACATGTGAAGATGTGAAGCATGCCTTCATTTGAAGGCAACCTGCAGTGACAAGATTGGGAGTGAAACTCCAAAGCTTCACAGAAAGCCTGAGTGAAAACTTACAAGGCAGGTGTGATAGTTCTGTGCTGAACTCTCTTCTGCCTGTGAAAGAGGGGCAGAAGAGCCCTACCCATTGGGCTTTTGATTGTTATTCTGATGGATGAACTCTAGTAGCAATTACCAGTTGTATGTCCTGAGCCATACAGTGCCATGGTCTACCTGACTGAGCCCTCTGTGTAATTGGATTGGTATTAAGTCCACATCCCAAGCTTAGTATAGATGTAAAGAATATAAAAAAATATAACCATATTAATTGTAGGAACCGATTCAATGGGCCTAACTCAGAGAAAAAGGTTTATGCTTAACTATATGCATGAACTACTTTAGTTGGAGGGAGATAAACTATGTATTAAAGCATCTCCTGAACTGAGATACTGAAGTTGCAAAATTTTGGAGGGTAAATGAGATGTACCTGCAATATATTAAATGGACCCTGAATGCTGTGTAGAAACTACTTAATTTTTTTTCACTTCTTATGTAGTAGCCAGGTCTGTTCTGTGATTTAATCCTACATCAAGGTCAAGCAGAGTCTTTTGCTAGAAATACCACCTCAGCACAAAAAAAGATGTGGAAAAATCCAGTTTTAAAACTCTAAAATTACTTCCCAATAGGGGTGTAGGGTTAGCTTTACTGAAAATAAGGAGCACAGATTTCTTAATAAAGAAGTTTATGAGGTATTGAAGAAATCTTTTGACAGTATTACAAACACCTGGAGAAGCCCTTATTGCTTTCATATGACTACAGTAGTTCCTACCACCACTGCTCCCTCAGGGACTATTCGCTGTTTCCCTTGTTAAACTTCTTTGGAGGAGGAAAAAGAGACATCAGAGAATATCATCGGTCTTTGCACAGGTCACTAAAAAGCATTAACATCTATTCCTATCAGCTGGTAGGGGGTGCTTCTGTTTTTGTTGATTAGTTTTTGCTTAATGCTTGATGCAACAATCAGCAGACCAGTTTGTGAAAGGGCACTATCTGAAAAAAGTACAGATGCCTTCATGTTATCTCTTGCAAAGTGGGCTGTCTAGAATCTGAAACAGGTTTTCCTGCACGTAGCCACACCAACAGAGGTACTCACATTTACACCTGCACCCACGGAGGTGACTGAATGCCACTGACACCCAGAGTTCCACTGGCTTGAGGACAACAAGCCATATCTGATCCCTCAGCAGCTCACACTGTTCACACTGTAGGATCAGGGCATTAACTACCTCAGCAATTCTTGGAAGTAGATGATTTGCATCTACTTTGACTACTACCTTGATAAACTTTTCATAGAAAAAAAAGGTTTTGCTTGTAACACTGGGGGGTTTCTTCATGTTTTGTTTATCCATGCAGCTTAAAAGTAGGGTTTTTTTCTTTTTTTTTTTTTATGAGTAATCATCTTCAGTCTGACTTCTCATTCCAGTTTCTTCTTCTCGGATAAGTGTGTTTATGGTTGAGTTATAACTTCCTGAAACACAAGGTTTGTGATAAAAATGCTGACAACAACCGTAACCATTGCCTAACCTACTGTTGTGGTCACCACTACAGCAACACAGCAGGATTTAAACTTAAGACCTTAAATGATGAAATAATTGGTGTTTTTTTCCTTTGCAGTTTCTGCTTTGTGGTATATGTGGAATACTGTGCGCCAAAAAAAAATCTGGACTTGTTGTAAGTTTTTCCACTGCATATGTAACACATAAGTGTCTGAGAGGCGTACTTATCTAATTTGAACTCCTTACTGGGGGTGAAGTCCAAGTGTTTCTGATAAAAAGTCAGTAAAAATTGCAAGTCAGCAGTCCAAAAAAGCAATCAGCACTTGGGGTTAATCAAGCAAAACAAGGCAGTTCTGAAACGGCCTATTTAAGGCACACATCCCTCTTTATCCCTGTGTGGATAAATACGGATGGAAAACCCGTTGACACAACTTTATGCCAATTCAATACAAAGTTCCCAATTACTTCACTGGATTTTAACTTCTCTCCTCCAAAAAACACTTTCTGTGAAGTGCGGCGTGACCAGACTGCCACCTCTTTGAGGCTGCTGACCAGCTTGGATCCTAGATATCATAACTGTTCACTGTTCTAATAAGCTCTTTTTGCAATCAGAACCATGAATAAGCCAGTTGTAAAGTGGTGGCAGATGTTTTCTGTCTCTTCTAAGAATCAGAAGCACAGTAATTTTTCTTACTGAAGCAAAATGGTGTCACAGCAGAACTTTATGTTAAAGACATGATCCTATTGTAAGTGATAATGTCTGGCTTAATTTTCTGTCAGCTTGATTATTCTGCCATGTACATACAGAAGTCATGTAAAATCAACATAAGTGTGAAGGGAATCAACATCTCTCTCAGATTATTTTTGCCTATAAACAAGTTATCCTGAAACCTGTTACAATGACAGTCTCATTTTTTAAAGCATGTGGACCATAACCAGTTTCTAAAAGTTGTCTGTTCTGATGGTCTCACGGAATAGTCATTTCCCAATGGACCGCAGCATACAGCCTGAATGCCACATTCTGGATGAAATTCTCATCCCAGTTGTGTACAGAAGTGGTCTGTAAGGCTCCACAAATTGTTCCTACCACAGTAGGATAAGTACATATACAAAACCATATTGAGTAACATCAAAGGCCCATCTAGATCAACATCTGACAGGCCATCAGTCAAGGAGACAATAATTTAGCAGTGTCTCCATAATAAGTTCTCTTGCCCTCAAGTCATTTGTGGCTCAAGGACATCCTGAACCAGGGTGGCATCTCTGTGATTAAAGTGATAGGATGTCTTTAACATGTCTCGTTAATTGCAGCCTGTTTCACATCCTTCTAAAGTTCCCAAAAAACATTTTAACAAAGTTAAAAACAAACAAACAAACAAACGCAATCACCACACTGACCTTCTGTAGAGCTGCATCACAGATTTCTTTGTTGTTTCTCTTGCTTCTTTGTCCAGCACATTCACCCTGAACACTTCTCAAGTCCCCCAAAAAGCTTCCAACTGCTGTCTGACTGCACACATTAGAATTGAACAGGAGGCATAATCAGAGGGCACACAAAGCAAGAGAGATTTACTGTGAGGTGTTTACACGAGGCATTCACCCCTGAGGAGTGGTGAGAAACTGCACAATAGAAAATTACGACACATTCTTTCAGGGTACTGTTTTGAATAAAAACCTGGAAATCAAAAGATTTGACTAGCTTTTAACATGAGCGACTCATTCTACCCAACTTTATCTTACATGCAACATCAATCTTAACTCTTGTACACCAGAAGGTATCGTATTCCCTTTGAGCTCTGTAGGAGCTGACGGAGATAAAAATGAGTGTCTGTGTAGTATTTTGCAGCCCATGATGTTATCAAAGCATTGAATTATGGTTAGTCTCATTTTTATATGAATGAATCCGTCTCAGAAAAATGTTACTGTGACATAACCTCTTTTGTCTTTCTTGACAGATGATACTTTTTTCTGCCTGTTGCATCTGTGGCCTAATTGGAGGAATCTTAAATTTTCAATTTCTTCGTGCTCTGACAAAGAAGTCGTCTGCTCTCTATTCTTTGCATCTTGCCTCCATGTCTCTTGCATGCATTGGAATTGGTGGTTGCACCCTTTCTTCATGGCTCACTTGTCGGCTAGCCAGCTATGAACAAAGGCGAATGTTCTCAGAAAGAGAACATTCATTGCATCACTCCCATGAAATGGCAGAAAAAGTGAGTTGTGTGTCCTCCTTTATTTGTTGTGCTTCTCCTAAAATGCTACTGTACGTGTTAACATTTACAATTGGCAAGAGATGTATTCAGTTTTCAGTGTTATATGAGAAAGAGCTTCTGGGAAATGAAACGCTGCCATTCTGTGTAAGCTTTATTATGTTGCATTATATGGAGCTATTTTTAGGTACTGTATATTTGCAGTACATCCATTTCAATGAAGTACATCCATTTTCAACATAATTCCATTGTATAGTTGTTCAAGGGCTTAGCTGCTAAATATAGCACTTCATAAATAATTGGAAGCCTTATTAATATGGATTATCATGTATTGTACTGTGAAAAAGCACAGAATGCTTTCTGTAACCACATCATTGCATGCTTCAAGGATTTAATCAATTTCTTCCTCTCCCAAGTACTCAGCTTATAAAGTGGGTTATTTAAACAAAAAAGCCACAGTTCACAAACCTAGATGACTAAACCTAAACACCTAAGGGCATATTTAGACACCTAAATGAAACTGGTCTGATTTGCAGCAGCACTGAGCATTTACAGCATTTACTGCCTTTCTCTGTTAAAAGGAAGCTTACCCAGGTATCAAAGCCCATGTTTAAGTGCTCAAAATTAAGCTCCTAAAGTTGAGCATGTAGGGCCAAAAGAATTAATGGAAAAGAATTCTTGAAATCAGCTCCTTGGAGTTACAGATGTGATTTCTATTTGAGAAGCAAAATGTTCACTGACACCCTGTGCTTAACTTTTGGACTTTGTATCCAATGCCTTTCCTTTGAGAAATGAGTAGAGAAGGGAACAAAAGCCAAGTGGGCTGTCCATCTAAACCTCCACATGCAAGTTGGCACTACAGTTAAGTTCAGCAGTCTGTATCTTAACTATTGAGACCTCTGAAGAGCAGAGCAAGGATTCATTCATTTGTACTGTAGAACGTTTTCAGACTCCCTGACAAAACATGATATAGCAGTTAATTGTCCATTAAAAATTTTCGCTATTCTTTGGTTTCTTTACTGAAATGAGACTCCAAGCAGACATATAGACTGAATTCCACTTAGAAGACATTTGAAATATGTTTTTAAAAGTGAAACAGTATTGGTTACAATAGTAACAAAACAGGGTGATAAAATCAAGGGAAGAGATAAATTTCTCCCTCTCGTTTTAAAATGAAGCAGAATTCTGTTGTGCTATGTAGGCAAGTATGGCCACACTCTTGCAGATGGTAGGCTACATCCTGCCTTCCAAAGATACTCTTGCCTCAACAAGGCCAAAGATGAAGCCCTTTTGAGAGAAAAAGAGAGAGGCTGAAGATGGCCATGAAGATGGCCTCCTTTCCTGGCCTGTTGACCTTCTGAGCTTTTAGACACTTAGCAGTGAGGACTGCAAGGTGCCCACTTATCTTGGGTGAAGGACCACGATGCATGTGTAGAGCACATGCTCAGCAAATGTGGGATGCGCCCCACCTATGGTGGGCTCCCTGCATGTGTGTTGTAGAATCCAGTATGCATGTGTAGATGGTCTGACCTGGGACTTCACAGACCTACAGCCTGTGGACAGCCTGCTGCCGGCAGGTTTGAGTAGATTAGCTCAAGGCATGCCCCTAAAAAATAATGAAGGCTACTTAAAAGCTTACATTAAATTAGGCCCTGGTTTAGAAAATAGCTTTAAAGTGTTTTATATATAAGACTATTTTGTATATTTATACTCTATACAGTAATATAGACATGTACTGCATGTGCATTTGTTTGTGCTATATTTATTGTATAATTGTTATATTTATGTTAGAGATTGAGGGGTATTGAAATAACCGACCTGCCCAGCTGCCCGGTGGTTCCCCCGACACCAGAGTTACCTCCAAGGTACGCTGAACACTAGGGAGCTACCATCTTGTTATGTCACTTCAGGAAGGGCCACCTCTAAGAGCAAGTCATAGTTTCAGCTAATCAAAGTTGGCTGATGCTGTGATGTCACTCTGAGTCAGGAACGGTGCTTCCAGGTAGTGACATAATTCTACGTGATGAATGCTGCAATCTGGAAGTAAGTTGAGTATTTAAAATATTCACCCTAGTTACAGACATCCAAATGCTCCTATTTGGATGTTGCCACCATTGACTCACTCTGCTTCTAATCTGTGTGCTTCATTTCTTGAATTCAGCAACATTTTTTTAATTTATTAATACTTTTATTTTTGAAAATAGAAATATTGGGGGAAATAAATGGTTTTCAATTTTTTCTGAAATTATGATGATATTCTAATAGCTGATGTCTGCAGAAGATTCAAGTGATAAAGCTGACAAAAGGAAATTTACACTCACTCATGAGTAGCCTTCTGACAGACCATTACTATCAACCTGTGGTTGACTGGTAGTTAGTATTAAATTGCTTTGGTGTTCTTGGTCCCTTTCCCAGCTGACTGGTATCTTCAGCGTAGATCCAACAAAGGTTTTAGGCACCTACAAAGAGGCAAAACACAGCTCCTCGTTTCAGAGCAGACAGGCCCCAAACTGGGATCCACGGTCCAGTGTTAGGCATGCATGTTCCTCTTCAGTATATGAGGAGAATAAGGCATCGTACAAAAACATCCAACACCATCACCCGCCAAATGGAGAGCTGGGTGGTAGAAAATGCTCTAAAATCAGTAAGTTTATACAACTTATTTTCTTTGAAGCTTACACTTAACACAGGAGTTTTAATTGGCAAAGCTACTTGGTTTGATGGCCCTAAGTTTACTTTGTAGAGAGGAATAGGACATCCTTTCTTTCAAAAACTGCACAGGGAACAATTAAGTCTTGTGATCTACTTTAAAATGTAGCTGGTAACACCTGAGAGAGAAAGCATCAATGTTTCCAATTTATGTTGAATTCTGAGTTCCTGTCTTTGCCTCCCAAGCTATTTATAAAATCAAATATTGTGGATTAAAAGAAGAGAGAGAAAGAGTCAGACTAGGAATAAAGACCAGGTCCCAGAATTTTCTTCTTTTTACCAAGAATCTCAGCAACTATTCTATAGAGTCAGGCTCTTTCTTTCTGATTTTCTCTCTCTCTGTTTAGCCCAATGAATCTTGCTTTACTTTCTTCACAGAAACTTCCACAAGAAGAGGGACAATCAAATCCCTCTTCCGCATTTTCTCCAAGCGTACACAGGAGGTAGAAGAGGTGAATTAAATCTTTCTCTGCAAAGAGCTTCTGGTTCTCGTGCAAATATTTTAGAACTAGCCCAACATTCTGCATTTTCTCCAAGTGTACACAGGAGGTAGAAGAGGTGAATTAAATCTTTCTCTGCAAAGAGCTTCTGGTTCTCATGCAAATATTTTAGAACTAGCCCAACAGTGGACCTCCACCTCATCTACCTGAATTTCAAAAATAACAACCCAAACTGCATTTTTATGTGTGCCCATTCCTCTTGGCATAATTGGATATTCTCTAGGATATGCCATTGGACATAAGCAGCAGATCATTTCTGCATCCAAATTCAATTTGGTATGACATCGGCCTGGGACTGCTCAGAATAAGGCAGTTCTGAGCATAAACTCTTTGTGGCTTTGCAGCCTTGAAGGTCAGAGAACTGCTTAATTAGTGCAGCCATCTCCAGGCTTAGACAGCTGCTAAGTAGCTACTGTTTGGATTGCAATTTGAGAATTAGAAAATCTAACTCCAAACACATCTTGGTTTAGGTGCTTTAGGATTCTGAGTCATGATCAGGTCAGCTTACTCCGAGATGACTCATCTGCGACTTGAGTAGCAATTGCTGAACTGCTAAAAATTGTAGTCTGGCATAGTAAGGGAAAACCAAAATCAGTCCCATCCCCAGACAAGCAGTCAAACCCCTTGGATCCTGTTTGGATCTAGACCTACTTCCCAAATGTCTACCCCAGCTAGCATCTAATGGCATCTGTTTATTACACGTCAGCACAGAAAAAGGTTTGAATGGAAACGAAGACTTAATTACCATCTTGTTCCTTTGTAGATAACCACTCAAGCTTGAGTTCATGCACTTTCAAAGAACAAGGTCACAAAACCTGCACGGATGCCATCAGTGTTGTATGTGTGGTCTGAGAGTAATGTCCAACTCAGTCAATATCAATGAGTCTATCAAGTTTCAAACATACTTAAATTATGTAGGAAGAAATGTGATTTCTTTTTTATTTTTTCTTTTTACAGTGAGATTTATGAAGCCAAGTAAAAAATGTAAAGTTTTTCTAACTGATTGAAATTCAAAGTTGTTAAATTTTTGTTACAACCTTAGCTAACTGAATTTCAAACATCATAAAATAACTGTAATTTTAATTAGTCTTTTCTTTTCTTGTTCCAGGAAATGACAGACAACCTAAGCAATGGTGGCCCACATCTGATTTATAATGGAAGTGTATATTAAGAGATTTTTAAAAGTTCCATGGAAAGAAGTGGGTTTAGAATTTTCTTCAGGAAAAAAAATAGACTACAAGAAATTGAGAAAATGGAACTATCTTAGCTTTTATGGCTCAAATGTCACAACTGCAGAACAGCACAGTTGCATTTCCCTTTTAGAAACATGTTCAAAATTTGTCTCCTAAACATTTTGCGAATATACAATATTTATTCACTTCCTGGCTACTCTCCTTTGTTATTTTTTTTTTCTGAATAACTTTTCAGAATTGTGATAGTATTTGAAATAGACTTCTCAAGACTCTTCTTCTCATGAAGACTCAAAAACTAGGAAAAAAAAAATAATTAAACTGGACCACATTTAGCCTGGTCACAGGATTCCTAAAAAGAAGAGAAGAGGGCAGAGGAAGGATGGCTCAGGGGAATCTTTTTCTCCTCCCCACTTAGCAGCATCTGGTGTAATATGATGGCTTCAGATCACGTGGCATGGTACCAGCAACGCATCTGCACAGTCCCCCTCCCCACATTGTGAATGCATCCAGCCTCAGTTTTCCCAGTAGATCGTATCAAAAGAGAGCGCAAATTACTCTTCCAAACGGCTCCCATTTCACATTCAGAGTGTAAACGAACAGTGTGCTGAAACCAACACCGACGTCTTTGTTTTGAAAGACAGAATGCTCTAAGAACGCCATAAATCAAAACCTCAACAATGCCTTGTTGTAAAGAAATTGTAAATATTTCCAATTTGTGAATTAAGTATATTTCGTAATTTGTTCATAAAAGATGACAAATAAAATTAAATCCAAACCAGATATTTTAGAGAGATCTTTTTGTGGGTTTTGTTTGTTGTTTCTTTTTTTCTTGTCAGAAAGATCTTGCAAAGCTGAACTGTCATACTTGTATTTTTGCACAACACATTGAAAGGTTCCTAAAGGGATGAAGCAGGCTCAGAATGGAGAAAAATGAAGGCTGACCAGAGGTATAGTCAAGGCCAAAACATGCTGGCAATTCTGCACACCCAAAATAGAGTTTGAGGTCTGTTAAAGGGACAAGTTTAGTGTTAGGGGACATGGGTTTAGAGGGACATGGCTTAGTGGTAACTTGGGAGTGCTACGTTAACGGCTGGGCTTGATGATCTTAAAGTCTTAAGGATCTCTTTCAACCAAAACAATTCCATGACTCTAAAGCAGTGTGTATGTTAAGGCAGCAGCTTTAACTGACCCCAAAAGTTACTGTAGGACCTACTGGCTCATGTAGCCATGAAAAATGGAAGATGTAATATGTAACAGAACACATCTAGCATAATATTTTTATAAGATATTAACGTAAACTGACTCACGTTACATAGTGAGTCTATGACTGCATTGTAAATCCCAGCACTTCAACATGAGTTTGAGATGTGAGCCTTATTGATGACTGGTTATTTATACCCATGTTCCCAGACAAGTGTGAATAGAAGCTTATTATTATTCAAGCCATGCTATAAAAACCTCTAGAAATTATATTGTTTTGTGAATCTATATGGTATAGAATAATCTTTAATTCAATTATTTTAGGATTTTCTAAGTCTATAAGGGAGTTTCCCATCTAATTACAACATAGGAAACATCTTCACTGTGATTTAAGGTGCTTACTTAAACGTCATGAAAATTAAGCTTGAGTTAAAAACTGGTTCACCTTATAAGGCTTCTTTTTATTTATCTACTGTCTCAAAGGGCTTTTGAATCCTCTGTAAGCCCCCGATATATTAATATGTATTCCGTACTATAGTAATTGCTAATGAGACTGTTCCAGTTCATAAAGATATAGATACTGTCATAGAAAAAGAAATAGACATTAAGACATCTCTGCTCAAGGAAAGTGCTCCCTTTCCCAGACCCCACAGCCTTTAGACTGTCTCCTCTACTACATTCCAGCTTCTGGGGGCTCTTTATAGGTGCCACTGCCTCTTCAGCTTGATGCTTCTCATCCTGAGCAATGGGAAACATGGTATAAGTCTGTTCTCAGCTTCTGCCCCTTTCTAGAAGCACTTTTGCTGCAGCTCTGGACATAACCTGTCTGTGGCAGGACTAGCACCTAAATGGGATGCAGAGTTGAAGAAATCCATACTGGACATAGAACCAGAGGAAATGGTTCTGCAAGATTCCCTGCAAGATTCCCTTCTTCACTGCATCCGTACAGAGTATCAAAGGGCCTTAGAAAAGAAAAGCAAGAGAAAAATTAAAAAAATGGCTCAAAAATCCATCTTAGAACTACCTGGCTGAGGTTCATTAGCTCTGTACAATTGTAAAATCACGGTTCGTACAGAGGTATCTTGTGAGACATCAGGACACTCCAGGACACAGAACAGTAGCTTCGGATCCTAGAGGGTGGTTTGCAATTGTAGCTCAGATTCTGCTTAGGAACAACATGAAAGAACACACCATAACACTATCCATTTACTTATCACAAACACTTCATTTCCCAGCATGGTAGTAATAGTATGGGATGGCGCAGGGGAATGGGTGATTCTTCTATATCCAACAGAGTAGTCCAGTGCAACAACCACTTTCTGATGCTTTGGAAAGGAAAGGAAGATACATTCTCTACGCTAACAATGTTTGAAACTTTACTGTAACCTATCAAATACAACCACACCACTTTTGCTGCTTTTCAGGGGGTGCTGGAAGGAGAGAGAAGAGATCTGGACCCCAGAGAACAAAAGATTCAATTGTTTGGTGGTTTTTTGTTTTTTTTTTCTTTTGCTGCCAAGCCTGTAAAATGCAGAAAACTGTCTGGTCCATGCATGCATAAAAGCCTTGAAAATGTAATGCTCAAGTTCAAAAAACTTGGGAACAAATGTGACAAAAACAACTGCTCCTACAAAGCAAAACATACAAAGAGAATCAAAATTCTTAAATTCAAAGTAAATTACCATAATATAAGGATGTGGTAGGGGAATTCTAGGAAATGTTTCACTTTGTTTAATGAAGTTTTGTTCCACAACTGCATACAGAGTTCAACTGTAATGGAAATATATTCTGTATGTTTTCATTACTGGTACAGTTGAAAGGACACTCATTCCAATTATCCAACTGTATGAAAACCAAAAGTTTTCAGAATGCAACCAGCCAACATATCTGCACCAATAGCTTGAAGGCTGGGCACCAAAATTCATTTTAATCTAAAGAAGATGAAGCGTGTATTGTCCTTGACGCAGTTATTTCTGATTCATCCTGCTGTAAAAGCAGATGCTGTCTCAGATTCTCTCAGAGATATTCAGCTGTTATTCACTAGATCAAGAAACACTCTTCCTGAAGGGGGGTTACTTATTGAACTTTGTGCATAAGGCTTAGCTGGTAAGTTCTTAATGTGTGTTTTAATATTTTAGGCTATATTTTAGGCTATGCTTGGCATTTCATAGAACCTCAGCCTATGAGACATACCACACAGATGTACACACATGTTTTGAATTTAAAACAATCAACAGTTCTTATTGCAAACTGTGGAGAAAAGTGCATATAATATGTTTTAAATCTTTGTCTCGCACAATCTTCAATATATATTTGCTGCATTAGAACATATGACTTTCCCTTCAGATTGTCTGGAGAGGTAAGAAGGACAGTGGAGCAGGTCAGATTTAGTGGGAAATTCATATGCAGTTAGCCATAATCACAAATAATTATATTTATACCAAAATTTTCCTTGAGAGTGCAATTTTGAAGATAGAGAGGAAACAGAGTATAATTGTATAAGCTACTTTTCACCCTTTCGGGTCCCAGACCCAGGCAGGTTAAGGAGTTAAAAGAAGCCTTTTATAATTAAAAGCTTAGAAATATCTAAAAGCAGACTGGTATTAGCCTACCATATCATTGTAGATATTATTGCATAATCTTTCTGCCTAGAATGATTCCAGCTAGCTTTGCCTTCCTGTATCAAAGTGACACCTTTAGCTCAACTATAAACCTCCAACAAGTTCCACAAGGTTGTTGCACATGCATCTGGAGACAGATGCTGAAGAATATTTTGAGAACTTGTACAAGGGCTAGGCAGACAGACTCACAATCTCCAAGGGAAAAAGAAAAAAAAAAGGCTTTGGCAAAATATAATTTGATTGTAGTGAAGATGCTAAATTCACCCTAATTTAATATTGTCAGCCTGAGGAACTCTGGGTGAACTTGGGAAGCTTGTTCAGGAAGGCCTTTTTTTCCCCCCTAATTATACAGTTATGAAAATGTGATTCAATGTTCTGAAGGAAAAGATTGAACTGGGTGGGATGAATCAGTAGGTAGAATTTCATCAGAAAGTTGCGTGTCTGGAGAGATTTGTTTGGCTGTGGAAATGTTGCTCTGCTTCAGAAAGAAGCAGCTTTGATTTGGAGCAAAAAGTCCAGAGGGCTGCACCAAGGTCTCTCTTGCAATCTCTCTACAAAGTAGTCAAAGAAACATCGAAGACACAGGATAGACACATCTACTTCTGCCAGGGAACTAATAATAAGTTCTGCAGAACATCCTCACAATTGCTCTGGTGTTCCCTCAAACGAGCCCTGAGCACATACAGAATTGGCAATTTGGGTTAGTTTTTTTCCCCTTGCATTACATTTGATTTGCTGTAAGGTATCTTTTATGTCCTTTAACCACTGAGTCACAGCAGGTTATTTTAATGATCTCCACATCACTGTAATTTTGCTTTCTAATCAGAAGGTGTTTTTTTTCCCAGGGATCCTTTCTGAAATCCAGTTTTAATCCTGCCATGAGCTGCAACATGTGTCCTTCTAAAACTATATACAGTTATGGCATGTTGAACAGGCTGACCAGGTACATTAATTAAAAATAACTCTACATGCATGAAAACAGCTGTGTTGATGACCTGCATAACGTGCAATGGTAGCACGCTAGGAAAGCAGGCAGGAAGAGGGACCAGAAGCACGGAAAGAAAAAGCTTTGAACTCCAAACTGTCACTACGGTGCTGCATATAATTCCACTGATACAAACCAGGTAGATGAGTCAACACAACTTCTCTTTGTACCCTCAAGAAAGCAGACATAGATTTAGCAGGAGCTAAGAGCCGTTAGGATTTCCTGCCCTCTTTCTCACATCCCATTACTAGCAGCTAGTATGAGACAAATCAAATGATGTAACTGGGACCACAAACTTGTGCAGCTCCTCTCCCACATCATTAGGTGAACACTTTTTTCTCTCCCTCCCACTTCATGCTGGTTCAAGCTAGGAGGTCATGTCTTATATCTTCCCTTATCTCTTCTCTTCTGTTAAAATACAGCTGTATCCTTTAAAGTCTTTAGTATTGAATAAATTCTTACCTTCCCTGCCCAGGGAAAGCAAACACAGATCACTGCATTCATTTCACAGAGAGACTGCAAAAAAAGCAGATCTAAATCTAAACCCTGAAGTCCAAACACCCAGACTGAAAGTACTAAATTCCTGTGGTTTGCTACACTTACTGGTATCTTTGCCATCTTCCCCCCTAAATCCAGGCATAAACTCCAGGGATGCTGACAGCTAATATTTTTCTGAGGACTATTAACTGTGTAGCACCCTGGAAAAATATGTGTTTCACAGCTCCTTTTGGTAACCACCACACATGAAGGACAGTAGGTTGATATTGATACCCACACTGTGGTGGCAGCAGAAGAGATCTTGAAATGGCCCAAGAGTTCTGGATCTAACACTAGAAAAGCCACGGAATTCTGTATGATCGCATTTATGCAAGAGATTATTGTGGTTTTATTTTATGCCTACTAAAAATATTGTATAAAGCCATGAATAAAACTGTTAAGTCTGTAAATTAAGACATTCGAACACTAAGGATTCC